ACGTGATCAGCTGTGTTCAGTGACACAGCTGACCACAATGTAAATACAATTGCCAGTTATTGACTGCACTTTTCTCACACTGTCACACCGTGAGGAGAGCAAGTAATCGGCAACTGTATATTAACGTCAGGACATCAGTGCTTTCCCAGAAGTGTCTTTCAGTGCAGTCCCAACAGTGTACATGAGTGCTGCATATCGGTGCCCATCAGTGCAGCCTCATCAGCACACATCAGTGAAGGAGAAAAATTAACCTGTTTTGCAAAATTTTATACAAGAAAAAAAAATATTTTTTCAAAATGTTTGGTCTTTTTTTTGTTTGTTTAGCAAAAAATAAAAAAAAACCCAGTGATGATTAAATACCACCAAAAGAAAGCTCTATATATTTCAAAAAAATTATACAAATTTCATTTGGGTACAGTGTTGCATGACCGCGCAATAGTCATTCAAAGCGCGACAGCACTGAAAGCTGAAAATTGGCCTTGGGCAGGAAGGGGGTGAAAGTGCCCAGTAGGAGAGTGGTTAATAGATTATTTAAGGTGCAAGCCCAACCTATTCATAACTAAACTTAAACCTGCTCCCACCCTGCTTCTAAATCCTATTCTATCTACCCTGTGAAAGGAAGATGAGCACTGCCAGAGCCCTACAAAATGATCTCCAACAGGCCACTGGTGTGAATATCTCGGACCAAACAATCAGAAACCAACTTCATGAGGGTGGCCTGAGGGCCTGACATCCTCTATTGGGCCTTGTGCTCACTGAGAGCACCATAGAGCTCGATTTGCACTTGCCATTGAATACCAGAATTGGCAGGTCCACCACTGGCACCCTGTGCTTTTCACAGATGAGAGGAGGTTCACCCTGAGCACATGTGACAGACGTGCAAGGGTCTGGAGAAGCTGTGGAGAACGTTACGCTACCTGTAACAACTTTCAACAAAACCGTTTTGGTGGTGGGTCAGTGATGGTCTGGGGAGGCATATCCATGGAGAGAACCTCTACAGGCTAGACAATGGCACCCTGACTGCCATTAGGTATCGGGATGAAATCCTTGGACCCATTGTCAGACTTTATGCAGATGCAGTGGGTCCTGGGTTCCTCCTGGTCCACGACAATGCTTGGCCTTGTGGCGAGAGTATGCAGGCAGTTCCTGCAGGATGAAGGTATTGATACCATTGAATGGCCCCCATGCTCGCCTGACCAAAATCCAATAGAACACCTCTGGGATATCATGTTTTGGTCCATCCGACGCCGCCAGGTTGCACCTCAGACTGTCCAGAAGCTCAGTCATGCCCTGGTCCAGAATTGGGAGGAAATACCCCAGGACACAATCCATTGTGTCATAAGAAGCATGCCCCGACGTTGTCAGACATATATACAAGTACGTGGGGCCATATAAACTAGTGAGTACCAATTTGAGTTGCTGCAATGAAATTTCAGCAAAATGAACTAGCCTGCTGCATCATTTTTTCACTTTGATTTTCAGGGTGTCTTTGAATTCAGTCCTCTGTAGGTTGATAATTTTCATTTCCATCAAACGATGGGGCATCTTTACATTCCTAACGCATCGCCCAGTCCATATCAGTATAGATATCCAGCATGATATTTTTCCCCATTGAGATCTGATGTGTTTTCAAAGTATTCCTTTTGAGCATTTTTTTGAGCAGTGTAATTACAGTGGATATAAAAAGTCTACACACCCCTGGTAAAATGTCAGGTTACTGTGATGTAAAAAAATTAGACAAAGATAAATCATTTCAGAACTTTTTCCACCTATAATGTGGCCTATAAACCATACAACTCAATTGAAAAACAAACTTAAATCTTTTTTTGGGGGGGGGGGAGTAAACATAACAAAACTAAAATAATGTGGTTGCAGAAGTGTGCACACCTTCTTATTACTGGGGATGTAGCTCTGTTCAGAATTAAGCAGTCACGTTAAAAATCATGTTAAATAGGAGTCAGTACACACCTGTCATCATTTAAATTGCCTCTGATTAACCCCAAATAAAGTTCAGCTGTTCTAGTAGGTCTTTCCTGACATTTTCTTAGTCACATCCTACAGCAAAAGGCATGGTCCACAGAGAGCTTCCAAAGCATCAGAGGGATCTCATTGTTAAAAGGTATCAGGAGAAGGGTACAAAAGAATTTCCAAGGCATTAGATATACCATGGAACACAGTGAAGACAGTCATCATCAAGTGGAGAAAATATGGCGCAACAGTGACATTACCAAGAACTGGACATCCCTCCAAATTTGATGAAAAGACAAGAAGAAAACTGGTCTGGGAGGCCGCCAAGAGGCCTTCAGCAACATTAAAGGAGCTGCAGGAATATCTGGTAAGTACTGGCTGTGTGCTACATGTAACAACAATCTCCCATATTCTTCGTATGTCTGGGCTACGGGGTAGAGTGGCAAGATGGAAGTCATTTCTTACGAAAAAAAAACATCCAAGCCCAGATAAATTTTGTAAAAACACATCTGAAGTCTCCCAAAAGCATGTGGGAAAATGTGTTATGGTCTGATGAAACCAAGGTTGAACTTTTTGTCCATAATTCCAATAGATATCTTTGGCACAAAAACAACGCTGCACATCACCAAAAGAACGCCATACCCACAGTGAAGCATGGTGGCAGCATCATGCTTTGGGGCTGTTTTTTCTTCAGCTGGAACTGGGGCCTTAGTCAAGGTAGAGGGAATTATGAATAGTTTTAAATACCAGTCAGTATTGGCACAAAACCTTCAGACTTCTGCTAGAAAGCTAAACATGAAGAGGAAATTAATCTTTTTCAGCATGACAACGACCCAAAAATAAATCCAAATCAACAATGGAAGAAGAATAAAGTTTTGGAATGGCCCAGCCAGAGCCCAGACCTTAGTCCGATCAAAAATCTGGGGGGTGATCTGAAGAGGGCTGTACACAGGAGATCCCCTCCCAATCTGACAGGTTTGGAATGTTTTTGCAAGGAAGAGTGGGCAAATATTGCCAAGTCAAGATGTGCCATGCTGATAGACTCCTACCCAAAAAGACTGAGCGTTGGAATCAAATCAAAAGGCGCTTCAACAAAGTATTAGTTTAAGGGTGTGCACACTTATGCAACCATATTATTTTAGTTTTTTACTTTTACTTCCCTCCACCTAAAATATTTCAGTTTGTTGTTCAACTGATTTGTACAGTTTATAGGTTACATTAAAGGTGGAAAAAGTTCTGAAATGATTTATCTTTGTCTCATTTTTTTACGTCACCGAAACCTGAATTTTTATATCCACTTTACCTGTAATAAATAAATACGGAAGCTGCCGCTGCTAACCCTTCCATCACTAGTTAAATGCTTGACCTGCCAGCAAGCCAACATCTTCAGCCTCAATATTTCTGATTGTATTCGTTTTCTTTAAAGGAACCCTATCAGGTTCCTAAAGAAATGCAAATGGCAATCCCTTACAGTAGAAAAGATCGTATACTCACCTCTGTGGCTCCCCATGTCTCCTACTTCCCCCTCCTTTCCAGCGCTATAGCCCCCATAAGACTCTTTGATTTCTGACACCTCTAGGAGTGTGGGACACTTGTCTCCTCCACTTCCACTGTTCTGTTCCCACCCCCTATATCACCTCAGAGGATGGAACCACTCTGTCACGCAGGCTGCAGATGGGGATTTGAAGTGGCCAATTCAACACAAATTATGCAGGCATGGTCCACTGCTGTCATGTATTCATCACTGCAGTGCATGTCGATAGGAAATGCATGAAAAGGGCTTCAGGAGATCAGCAACACTGAGATGCAGCTAAGAATAAAAAAGATGAAAACAAGTTTATTTGAAAAAACGGGAACTATTTACAATATATGATGCTTCAGCAAACTAAATGTCATTTGTTTAGGGCAGTCATCTCTAAATAGCAGACTTCAGCCTGGACCGGGCAACAGGTCTGTCAGGAATGCTGCAGTCTCGCCATTCAGCTGTCTGTGTCTCATCTGTTTGCCACACCCTCCCTTCATACCCACCAGCACTCCCTCCTGCGTTGTAAAGTGGGGCTGTATTGTAAAGGGGGGACCTTAAAGTGTTACTAAACCAACAACAGAAAAATCAGTTTATATATACAGTAAAGCATACTTTGTCATATTCACTGTGGAACCTAAGGTGTTAATCCTCCACATTGTGTAAAAAGGCTGTTTGATCCTGTCTTCTCTGATCCTCCCCTTCTTCCACAGTCCCCAATCCATCTGCTGATAGAACAGAGCCTTGGGGGCAAGCTGCACTAGCTCAGTTTCGTGTGTATTGCTATAGAGTTTTTTTCTCTTGGAAGAGTGCATGTGATCAGCACAGGGCCAATCAGCACCTTCCAGACAGAGGGTCAAGGGTCATGCAGCCTCATAAGACAATCAGGGGAGAATGAAAACTCCTCCTACAAGATTTAACCAGTGCTCTGCTGGACACTGATAGAAGTCACAAGACTGCTTTATACTGTTGATGAGAAAAGGTATTTAGCAGTTTATATTTACTACGATAATTATACTTCCATGTTCTGCATGTGGGAGACCAGATATAATTAATGCAGGGTCCTGGGTTTAGTAAAACTTTAATGCAAAGAAGAGCACTGTCAAGGGAGGACTTTGACAGAATGACAGGCCACTATGAAGTAAAGGAGTGGGGGGGCTCTGTGATGTAAAGGGGGACTGTGATGTAAATGGAGGGTTGTTGATGTTAAGGGGAGGATCGATGTAAAGGGGACTGTGATGTGTAGGGGGAACAAGGACGTTGATATAGAAGGGGGTTTGTGATGAGATTTGGACCTCTGCTGGAAGAAGATTTTACTGATTGGACCTCTTTGAATTTTCATTCCTTGACCCTGATTTAGGGTTTACATGGACTTTAAATTCTGGAGAAGCTGATGCTTTAATTTTGGACATAAATCATGGGATATCTAAACTTCTACATCATATTTACACCATGGGAGTAAGCAGAGGTGGTTAAGCGTAACTCTTTCATTTCTTATTGTCGTCCCCAGGAAGCTAAAGCCGCCATTGAGGAAACGAGAGCCCTGCGTAGCAGAATCCACCTGGCTGAAGTGGCGCAGAGACAAGCGCGAGGCGTGGAGATGGACTATGAAGAAGTCATCCGCCTCCTGGAAGGTGAAATAACGGAGTTGAAAGCCCAGCTTGCTGAACACTCCGGCCAAAGTAAAGTAAGCCGAACTGCCACAGTCCGTTACCATGGCTTCCCCTGAGCAGTCATGTGGCCCCAGCTCTTTCCCTTTCAGTAAAGTAGGTCAGCATTTGTCTTGTATTATTCTGTGCTTGCAGTGATGTGCAGTGCTGAGGACAGTGTGGGCGTAGAGACCCTTTCTATTAGAAAAGCCGGTATTAGTTTGTTTGTGGCAGAGAGAAGCAGGAGTTTGCACAGATGACTGGATTATACACTCAAGTGCACCTGTCATCTTACAAGCAAACACTGTGCTGGACAGAGGATAAGAGGAAGTTGTTTTTTTTTTCCCAGTTACACTGGATGGAGTCATACAGTTGCAAGAAAAAGTATGTGAACCCCTTGGGAGTATGTGGAGTTTTGCATGAATTGGGCATAAAATGTGCTCTGAATGTCATCCAAGTCACAACAATAGAAGAACACAGTCTGCTGAACATAATACTACACAAACATTAGATGTTGCCATGGTTTAATTGCACATAACATGTAAACATTCACAGTGCAGTTTAAATTAAACCATGGCAACATCTAATGTTTGTGTAGTATTATGTTCAGCAGACTGTGTTCTTCTATTGTTGTGACTTAGATGACGTTCAGAGCACATTTAATGCCCAATTCATGCAAAACTCCACGTAATTCCAAAGGGTTCACATACTTTTTCTTGCAACTGTAGATTCCCAGTCTACTCAACATTCAGTATTTACTGGGAACAAGGGGAGTGTAAGATGTGGATTGGCTCAGTATATTACAGATGGATACAATTTTAGAACCCGTGTAAGCAAACTTCATCTCATCATCCGCTCTGGATAGACTATACCTTTACAATTATTTTTGTTTTCTCTTTGCCATGTTAGCTGTGATGGAAGGAAAGTTTATTTTATTATTTTTTTTTTTTTACCCATTACGACCAGTAGGAAAATTAGAGCTACACAAATAAAAATGAGAAGGCAGCTAACATTATATTTAACGCCAGTACTTTCTTGTTTTTTTTTTTGATGGCGTTGGAAATGGTTATTGCAGAACTAAAGACACCGCACTCTCTCTTCTCCAACGGTCTGAAGTTCGCTAGGGATTCCTCACTGCCATCTTCCTGGTGACTGTATTAGGCCATCTTGCTGGATTACAATAAAAAATCATCAAACAGCGCAAATCAAAACTCAAAAAAATATAATAAATAATAAAAATAATACAAAAAACTTATAATCAATATAATATCAATTGAATAGTCCCACTCCAACAAAATAATTATTGAGATGAACATGGTGAGTAGAGTGACATTGAAAAGTCAAAAAATCCTTGACCCATGTTCACACCCGTTAGTGCTCAGATCACATACCGCACTCACCAGACAATGGTGAAAAAAACGCCTTAATTATGGGTTTTGGAGTCCTAGACCCATTTAATTTAGCCTCCAATCACCAGGTTTAGGTGGAACTCCCCCAATGCAGGTATAGATATATGCCTCAGACCTCCAAACAGTCTCCAACCTCCAGGATCACCAGAGATCACTCGCCATAGAAAGATGATTGGTACAAAGAAAAAAAATGTATATAGTGTAATACTTCAAGACTCAAACAGGATGAATGCAAATACCAAACCACTCACATTTTAGAAGAATATAATCAGCATTTATTGTTTATATGGAGCCAGAACGCCACATCACCAGGGTAAAGATCTCCCAGTCAGCAATAGATGACAGCATGTAAGAATCCACCCTCAAGCAAAACGGCCCCTGAGAGTGCCGCACGCTGGCGTGCGCTCCACTCACCAGAAGTGACGTGGTACGTTGGACGGTGAAGCCGGAAATGCGTCAACGCGTTTCACCCCTCCTCCAGGGCGTTTTCACAGACCATCTTGCTGGATTGCCGTGGGTAACATAACTCCTGCACACGCATAGGAGTAAGTCATCTCGCACCCAGGAACTACACCAGCGATGTAAACTGGCCTGCGCGTGCGCAGCCTAGTGTACGTGCCGCAGACGACTGTGACTGGGCAGGTAGGTTTACTTTAATGCAGAAGAGACATTGAATTTTTCTTTTGCAATAAATAGCAAGTTTATTAAAGTAGTTCTAAAGGCAGAATTCTTTTTTTTTTTTATCCTAATGCATTCTATGCAGTAAGGTAAAAAATCATCTGCAAGCAGCTCCCTCCCCCCCCCCCCCCCCCCCCCTCATACTTACCTGGCCAGATCTTAATCCAGCAATGTGCACAAGTGCAGAGGCGCTCTCTCTCTCTCTCTCTCTCTCTCCTCATTGGCTCAGACACAACAGTGGGAGCCGTTGGCACCTGCTGCTGTCAATCACAGCTAGTGTTGGACACACAGAGCAGGGCTCAGGAGTGAGCATGCACTAGTGCCCCCATAGCAGGGGGGGTTGCTGTGGGGGCCCTTGGAGGGGGGAGGAGCAATGGCGAGGGACCTGAGAAGAGGAAGATCAGGGCTGCACTGTGCAAAATCACTGCACAGAGCAGGTAAGTATAACATATTTGTTTGTTTTTTGTTGTTGTTGTTTTTTTTTTTTTTTTTAAATAAATGCTGAGCCTTTAGGATCACTTTCATTTTAGTTCCCATTTGAGGAACCCTGCTGTCAGCTGTAAAATATTGGATCAATCAACAGTCACTAGAAAAAACAGAGGATCAATCTCCCCAGTGGGCACACAGATAGCAATAAAGACCTGACTGGGGTTCCGCCTCTTCTCTACTACATCCAATGCTATAAAGATATTTTGATGTTCTTAACAGGTTTTAACGTATAACTCCAGGTTGCCCCCCCCCCCCCCCCCCCCCCCCCCCCCTTGAATTTCCTGCTTTCCTTTCTTCTGGAATCTTTGGTCTGCTCACATAATATTACAAGTCCTCTTCCTCTAGCAGTGGGCTGATTATGCCTTCAATATATTCCTATGAGCACTGGGCAGATTGATGTCCTCCCCCCAGGTGGTGGGTTCTTGAAGACCCTTTTCCCAGCACCAGCGTCGGGACGTACGGGGGATGGAACGGCGGGAAATTTGAAAATGACAAAAAGTGACTCACTAAAATCACATAGTAAAACATTACTGTATCAAACCATTTCACATATATTTTGTCCCGAGTGCTTTGTCCTGTGCCCTGCCTGCTTTTTTACTGTTCTTTCTGCCTGGAAACTTAGAAAAGTCCATGGCGTCCAAAAAGCGTCCCTTTAGGTCAAAAGCGGTTTTAGACCAGCTAGAAAACAGCGATAGTAAATCAGAACCACTTGCAGAATTGAGTGATAATGATTCGTGAGGAAATTCATCATCAGACACTGAAAACGATTTTGCGACTTTGCTCAGTGATGTGCGAACTTGGCGCTATATTTAAAATTTCAGTGTTTTTGGTTTGATTATATTATTGAATTAAATTTATTATTATATTATTATTTTTTATGATTATTTATTAAATTATAATTTATGATTTCGTGTTTCAAGTTTTATCATATCCGGAATGTTTACTAGACTCTTGTTCGGACAGATTTCAGTGAGTTATTCCTAAAAATTACAGGCCTACAATTAAAAAAATACATATTTCCATGCAAAAAAAAGTACCGCTTTGAGCACAGAAATACTGACATAATCAGACCGCTAGGGAAGTTAATAATAGGACTGTAGCTGGATCACAAAGTAGCACCAGAACTAGGGTATTAACCTCCCTGGCGGTATGATTATTTCAGATTTTTGGTGCTGAAAGCGGTACCATGGAAATATGTTGTTTTTTTATTGTAGGCCTGTAATTTTTAGGAATAAATGACTGAAATCTGTCCGAACAAGAGTCTAGTAAACATTCCAGATATGATAAAACTTGAAACACGAAATCATAAATTATAATTTAATAAATAATCATAAAAAATAATAAATTTAATTCAATAATGTAATCAAACCAAAAACACTGAAATTTGAAATATAGCGCCAGGTTTGCACATCGCTGAGCAAAGTCACAAAATCGTTTTCAGTGTCTGATGACGAATTTCCCCACAAATCATTATCACTCAATTCTGCAAGTGGTTCTGATTTACTATCGCTGTTCTCTAGCCGTTCTAAAACCGATTTTGACCTAAAGGGACGCTTTTTGGACGCCATGGACGTTTCTCAGTTTCCAGGTAGAAAGAACAGTCAAAATGCAGGCAGGGCGCCGGACAAAGCAGTAGGGACAAAATGTATGCGAAATGGTTTGAAACAGCAATGTTTTGCTATGTAATAATTGTTTTAAAAAAAATATGACATTTTTTTAAACTTTCAAATTTGCCGCCGTACGTCCCAACGTCACAGGGACTGGAACATGGAAGCTGGATGCCGGCATCGGCCGGAGGAGATGGTCGGGGACGCTGCAGGGGACACATCGCGGGAGCGAAGGACAAGGTAAGAGCTGCAGGGAATCCCTGAGCAACGCCGCATGGTATTCCCGAGTGTAGCTCGGGGTTACCGCTTGTGGTACTGAAATTTTACCCCGAGCTACACTCGGGAATACCGCCAGGGGGGTTAAAGCCAATTTTCATCTTTATTTTTACATAACGCAGAGATATTGTATTCTGCCGGCAAGGAGCCTTCCAGGCCAGCAGAACTCAAGGATTACTATAGCTGCTGGCATCATTCACTTAAAAAAAAATCAGTCAAGCCGGTTGTACTGAAATCAGTCGATGGATAGACTTCAGCATAACCAGCCCGTTCCGTAGATGGATCAAATCTTGGCCAGTCCCTGCTGAACCAGCCAAAATTCAATCCATCTGTGGCCGACTTGCAGAATATGTAAACACAAAATTTCATATTCCTTGCATAATAAAGTATCCTGATTTCTTTGTATTTCTTCCTTTGTGTGAAATCCCTGGTGTTCCTGCTTCCCTATTAAAAACTGACCACACTATGCATGAGAGCACAGCGTGGTCCATTCTCTAGCTGTGCTGGGAACTCAGCCTACTCTCCTCCAATGATCAATTGGGCTTGTCATGACATGCAATCCCCCTCCCACAGGCATTCACTGGGAAGCTCAGTGTGCTGCTGTTTCTGTTCGCCCACCTCTTATGCAGCTAAGAACAAAGGGAATGTGATCACTTATGAAAACGGGGAAGAAAGTATTTGTAATTTTTTTTTATATCTATACACGTGTTGCTTTTCATTTCTATTTTAAACTGAATGGGTTGTTTTACAAGGTGAGGGTCTACAGTCACTTTAAGTAATTAGAAGCTGTGCAATCCCAATATGCTTTATTATTATTAACCATTAGCCGCCCGGCCTATAGCCGTTTGGCGGCCGCAAAAATGGTTTAGCTTTCCGGGGTGTACGCCATTTGGCGTCCTCCCGCACATGCGCGGTTGCAGAGCCACGCAGCGGCGCGATCTGTCACCGGCCGTGTACCTCGGACATGGCCGATGACAGATCTGAGTACCGGCCCCTGTTGCCGGTACCATGTGACCTGCTGTGACCAATCACAGCAGGTCACATGACAGTTGTCTACAATGGATGGCTTCATTCATGCCATCCATTGTATACTAGTGCCTAGCTGTGAATGGTCACAGCAGGTCACATGCACATGTCATGTGATTAGCTGTGGCCAAATCACAGCTAAGCACAAAAAAAAAAAAACCTGAATGAATCGATGTCATTCAGGTAAATGCTTGCTTATAGCAAAGTAATTCTTTGCTATAAGCAAATTGTGTAAAAAAAAAAAACAAACAAACAAATGCTAATCACTTCCCCAAAGTAGTACAATGTTACCATAGTAACATTGTACTACTTTGGTCATAGTAAAATATGAAAAAAAAATCTTAAAAAATGTAATAAATTTAAAATAAAAAAAATGTATATTTTTTTTCATACTGTCACCAGTCAGTGTCCCTGTTCAGCGCCATGCCAGTTATATGATGACGCTGTACTGCACTGGTGACAGTATGTAAAAAAAAAAAATAGTGAAAATAATTTTTTTAATTTTTCAATTTTCCGAAAAATTATGACAAAAAAAATACAACTTCAAAAAACTCGCCATGCCTCTTATAAAGTACGTCGGACTGTCTACTCTGCAAAAAGGGGTCATTTGGGGGATATCTGTACTATTCTGACATTCTTGGACCTCAAGAAATTAGATTGGCTGTCAGTACTTCAGGATTGATCAATATTCAGATCTATACCATAGTTTGTGAACTCTATAACTTTCCTACAAACTAAATAATACATCCTAATTTGGGTTATTTTCACCAAAGACATGTAGCAGAATACATCTCGGCCTAAATTTATGAAGAACAATTATTTATTTGTAAACTGTTATAACAGAAACAAAGAAAAATGTGTGTTTTTTTCAAAATTTTTGGTCTTTTTTTGTTAATTTAGCAAAAAATAAAAACCCCAGGGGTGATTAAATACCACCAAAAGAAAGCTCTAGTTGTGTGAAGAAAATGATAAAATTTTAGTTTGGGTACAATGTTGTATGACCACGCAATTGTCATTCAAAGTGTGAGAGCGCTGAAACCTGAAAACTGGCCTGGGCAGGAAGGTGTAAAATTGCTCGGTATTGAAATGGTTAAAGAGTTGGAGATTCAGGTTATTGCAAACCTCCATTTTCATTTAATATGGGAAGTACAAAGTACCTGATCTTCACAGTAGAAAAATAAAATAAAAAAAAGACAAAAGAAAAGCACAGGCATATTGTGGGTCCTTCGCTCTCTTCTTGGCAGCATATTGTTATCCAATACTACAAGTACATTTTAAAGAAAGGGATGGCGTACAAAGAGAGATCTCACATTGATGCAACAGTCTAGTTCTCAACGATCAGAGATTTTGCAGCTTTCTATGTACCATAACTAGGACCTCAGATACTCGAAAGCTCTCATTATGCTAAAGTAACACCTTCATGGCAGATTATATAAATATCACTTGCTAATATCAGGCCCTGTTTAGTCTTCACAAAGCACCTCAAAACAGCAACATTGAAATGTTACCGTTCAGTAAAGCTTTTGGATGGGTCTTACATGTTGCTCTCCTTTCTTACATGACATATGTGCAGACTGTGAATACAATTTTCGTTTTTTTTTTTTTCCTCTGTTAAGGACAATGTGCAAGATTTAAAGCGCAGGATCACTGTCCTTGACTGTCAGCTGCGCAAATCAGAGATGACACGCAAAACCTTCGAAGTATCCACAGAAAAACTGCTGCAGTTTGTAGAGGTGAGTTATTGTCATTGAGAAAATAAAAGGAAAGCCTGTAAACGCTGAATATTGCTTTACAGTTAGAATCTGCTAAATTCTTGGATATTGGCAGAAATGCAGGAAATGACATTGTTGACTTGTTTTTAAAGCAATCCATGCTTTTCCTTGCTCTTCCATCTAATAGTCAGTGGCCCACAGTCCCTAACCAAATTAGCAGTTCTAATTCTGATTCACTTGCTGCATGCTTGCTTTAGATTAGTGACTCACTACCAAGTAATGGACAGCTACAGGGCTGGAACTAGACCATCAAACAGACTCATGCCATTCCTTTTTGCTTTCCCATCTAGTAGTAGCTGTAACTAGACAAGCTTTGGCTGTACTTCTACTTTAAGGGCTAATTTACTAATCGAGCTGAGAAGGTTTATACTTAGTTTACTTCAAATATCCAATCGTGTGCAGATGACATAAGTAAACAGGAATTTCATCGGATAATTGAAGTCAATTCTTCTTGCATGAATATTCTCAACTACTTTAGTAAATAAGCCTCATTGCAGTGAGGAAGAAGCTCAAAATAAATTGTGATGATTCCATCTTGTCACCTTTCTGCAGTTTCTCTTTGAGATTTCTCTATTCCTTGTTTCTGTTTTTTGTGGTGGCTATATTGTCTTGTAGGGACCCTGGAGCCACTCTTATGAGCGTGCTCCCACCTGTCATTGCAGACCCAATGTGCCAACGCTACATACACCAGCATGCACGGGCAGGTTTTAACTCTTTATTTGTAAGCCACACTCCAGCTCAGTAATGGGCAAACTACGGCCCGGCGGACATTTTAATCCGGCCCGTTGAGCGTGATGCTGTCAGGATGTGTGTAGGTGGGGCAGCGCGACAAACGTGAGGGGAGCTAGGCTCCTCTCACAGTCCACCCTGAAGACCGGAACGGCGCGGGAACACGGCGAGAGGAACGCGCGGAGCAAAGGTAAGTGGATGAATTACTATGGGGGATGAATTACTATATGGGGGATTAATTACTATGGGGGATGAATTACTATATGGGGGATGAATTACTATATGGGGGATGAATTACTATGGGGGATGAATTACTATGGGGGATGAATTACTATATGGGGGATGAATTACTATATGGGGGATGAATTACTTACTATGGGGGATGAATTACTATATGGGGGATTAATTACTATGCTTACTATGGGGGAATATTACTATACTTACTATGGATGACACATACACATCATTCATCTACTCTTGGTCCGGCCCCCGGGTCCAATATATGAACCCATTGCGGCCCTCAAGTCAAAAAGTTTGCCCACCCCTGCTCCAGCTCCACCTTTACGGATTGATTGGCAGCAGCACTGTAGACAGCTGTGGGTGGACAGACCAGATATTCTAGCCACATTTATGCTTTGTTTTCATGGCGCGAAGGATGATGGGGAATGTAATCCCATCGTTATCAGTCATGTGGCCTTTGTTTGACATCTACAGTGGAGGATTTAATACTGCTTTGAGGGTTTTTTTTTTTTTTTTAAACAGATCAGATTGATGGAAATAACAAATCAATGAGTCACAAAGTGGAACTTTAGTGATTTTTTTAAACCTGTACTTTGCCAATGCAGGGAAAAGTATCTAGCTCATTTAATAGCTGACATTTTTTTCCCTTTGCTCCCCTGCTGGGGTAAAAAAAAGGAAGTCTCATGTAAGCTCTAATTCACAACAAGAGACAGGGGACACCCTTCCCACCCTAATGTGAGAACACTAGGTGCCCAAGCGGACAGTTGCCAAGCACTAGTGTTGACCTTTTTTAAAATGGCTGTACACTTACCTGCTCTGTACAATGATTTTGCAAAGAACTGCCCCTATCCTCCTCTTCTCAGGCCCCCTTCTGGCCCTTTGGGCACCCCCCCCCTGACAAGTACCCCCATAGCAAGCCGCTTGCTATGAAAGCACTTGTGTGCTTTCTCCAGAGCCCCGCTCTTTGTTTCCTTTCATACTCCGAGCACAGCTCGGCCCCGCCTCTTCTCACTGGCTATGATTGACAGCAGCAGGATCCAATGACCCTCGACGCTGTCTCTGAGCCAATGAGGAGGGAAAGAGCCGCTGCTCTCATGCACATTGCTGGATCGAGATTTGGTTTTGGTAAGTATAAGGGAGTTCTGGGTGGAGTGTACACCACAGAAGTTTTTTTTTTACCTTAATGCATAGAATGCATTAAGGTAACAAACCTTCTTGCTTTACAACCACTTTAAATTTTCAACGGGATGTGACAAAACCTGTTTTTATTTGCTGCCTTTGTCTTCGCTGGGGGAATTTATATTCTCTATTAGTGCTAATGGCCATTGTCTCTAATATAAAGTCATGGGAAATACGGAATTTTAGAGCGGTCACTGGCACAGAAGGAAAGGGTAAATACTTCAGTGGGGACAGCTGTTCTGATAACAGTGCCCAAAAGCCAGGCAAAATCCCGTCTTATGGTGGCCATAAATTCTAAAATAAAAAATCAGTTCCTTTTCTGATCAACCTCCTCCGACAGGAATAATTGATCTATAGTTGAAATCCCATTTGATTGAATAGCTACAGTCATGGGGAAATGGATTTCAGTCAATAGCGAAGATATGATCATGAAGTGATCAATAGCTTCTCTATTATGTAACCTTATAATCTAATCCATCAAAATACATATTCGCTAACAAAGTATCTCAGTGCATCTGAGTGAACTCTGGTCAATTTTTTTCCCCATGCAGTGGGGCTGTGCCCACACTGCACTGGTTAACTGCTCATTTTTCTTAGGGGAGAGCGGAGATATACTTACCTAATCCACTGATCCTCCCAGAAGACTGGTCCAGCACCCCCGCTCTGCAGTGGTCTTGATTAGTGGACTATTCCTGATGTCATCATGCCCAGAACAGGCTGAATGGACCAGGAACAGCCCACTGCTGGACTTGGGGGAGTGCTGTATCCTGAAGGATCGGGTGAGTATAGGCTCTGTGTTCACCCCTACACAAAACGAGCATTTAACCGTGCCCACACTGCATAGGAAAAAAAATTTGTCTGGAGATGGACATTAAATCAAGTCCAAATTGATTGGAACAGGAGCTATGGCTATACAATTGTTTTAATCTAACTGCATATCGATCAAAAAAAAAAAATTGAAGCGCATGGCCACCATTAGATAGATTTTCTCTTATTTGCTGTTATACTGTATCTCTGGGACAGGAAGTGATGGGAAATCGCCACAATGGTACACAGACAACAAAAAAGCATATCCAAGGTCTTGACCATTCCCTACTCTACCCAAAATCAAAAAGAAAAAAAAAAAAAATTTGGGCTTTACATTCTCTAAGGGTAATTTTGAGGGTTCAATCTGATTTTAAATTTACTCTAGAATAGTATACTTTTCAAAAATTGTTTATACCTTCAATATCATTTTCCACCCTAGCCGCCCAATCGTGATTGTTCTAGTATGAATGAAAAACAGCGGTTTAACTTCTTAGCAAATTAAAGCAAAATGGCAACATTGTTGTTGATTTTATTTTTTACATCTTGGGGAAAGCTAGAAGTATTGGTTATAGGTGTCGGATGGATAATTGTATATGCTTTTTCCATAGCTGAGGAGGGTATTGGCTTTCATAATGAGAAAATAGACTTTGTTGGCTCCCTGCAGCTGGCATGTCACAGTTTCAAAATGAATAGCAGAAACAGCGGGAGCCAATGGCAGGAAATTGTCTGAGCATCTTTTTCAAGAGGCGCCGTCATATACTTCCTGCAGGAGATGAATGGTAAAGGTCAGAATAAAACACCAACAGGTGAGGATTGTGACGACAAATCATAATGCACCTCTTCTTGTAAACGGAGATTTTATTAAAAGAAATAGATTTTTAACAGTTTTCTAAATATGTACAGTATGTGAATGCAAGCTCTACTTTGAGCTTGTCGGCTCACAGTAGAAATGAGGAGCACACCAGAAATTTCAGATCCACTCATACAGTGGGGAAAATAATTATTTGATCCCCTGCAGATTTTGTAAGTTTGGCCACTTACAAAGAAATGAAGGGTCTATCATTTTTATCATAGATGTATATTAAATGATAGAGACAGAATATCAAACAAAAACCCAGAAAAAACATGATACAAATGTTATAAATTGAGGTTCAGTTCAGTGAGTATAATACGTTTGGATCCCCAAGCAAAACATGACTTGGTGGAGAAACCGTTGTTGGCAAACACAGAAGTAAGTTGTTTCTTGTAGTTGATTACTAGGTTTGCACACATCCCAGGAGACATTTTGGTCCACTCTTCTTTATAGGTCTTAAGGTTTCTTGGCTGTCGCTTGGAAACTCGAAATTTCAGCTCCCTCCGTAAATTTTATATAAAAAAAAGGTCTTGAGAGTGGCTAGGCCACTCCATGACCTTAATGTGCTTCTTCTTGAGCCACTCATTTGTTGCCTTGGTGGTATGTTTTGGGTCATTGTCATGCTGGAAGACCGTCCACTACCCATCTTCAGTGTTCTGGCTGAGGGAAGAAGGTTTTCATCCAATTTTTTACAATACATGGCCCCGGTCTATTGGACCCTCATTGCAGCAAAGTCGGCCTGTACCTTTAGCTTAACTGTAGGGATGGTGTTTTTAGGGTCATAGTCGGCATTTTTTTTCCTCCAAACACGGCGAGTTGAGTTAATGCCAAAGAGCTCAATTTTGGTCTCATCTGACTACAGCACTTTCTCCCAATCCTTCTCTGAATCAATTAGATGTTCATTGGAAAACTTCAGATGGGCCTGTACTTGTGCATTGAGGAGGGGGACCTTGCAAGTGTTGCAGGATTTCAATCCATGGCGGAGTATTGTGTTACCAATGGTTTGTTTGGTGACTGTAGTCCAAACTGCCTTGAGATCATTCACAAGTTACTCCCGTGTATTTTTGGGCTGATTCCTCACTTTTCTCATGATCATCCTTACCCCATGAGGCGAAATCTTGCATTGAACTCCAGACCAAGGGCGGATGATGGT